AAAATCTACGACTACGACAATATGCAACATTCTCTCACGACACGAGTTTGGATCCTGGTACTACTTGTTCTATCAGATCACGCAGCTTTCGATCTGGAAAGTGCAATAGCACTAGGTCTTTGGTCTTGCACCCGAGACCAAAAAGGGAGGCGTCGCGATTATAATGGTTGACTACTGTAGGATCAAGAATTATTCTCGCTTCAGCCTCGGTCAAATTTAGGGAATTTACGGATCTATGACGATATTCGTTCTCGAATCTATACCTTCGATTTGATCATTTATCTCCACCCTTGGTCGTCTTTCACAATCTGTCTTATACTCTTCCTGTCAAATGCACACTAGTGTTCTGGCGCAGAATGGAATTCCGTCAGGCTTTGGCATGTGATCTCGACTTCATAGTTATTGCCCTTTTTCCACTGTTAAGTGCTTTCAGCCGCCCAAAGATTGTACATTCAACTAGGCCTTTTTGGCGGTCCATAGGGTAGGTATCTGCACTGATGTTCCCTGTCTCCAATCCTTTGGTTTTCATCGCATTACTGGACAGTAATTATCTATTGGATCTCGGATGGATAACTCGTTTATTTGCTTGAGATGATTGTTGTGTTTTTGTTTGGCCCCGTCCAGTTCTTCTTTGGAAAGGAAGAGGAATCGCCAGGCGCTTGAGGGTTGACCTTGGGGCGAGGTTTCCAAAGATCGCAACTGTTGTGGATGCGGTGCTGGCTGAGGTGAGGCTGCGTGTATAGGTCACTTTGTTTTAATCCCATTTCTTCAGATGATGAAATTGCTCTTATGCCATCGTCTGCTGATTGTAATTTGCTCATCTCTTTTTTGATATCTGCGAGAGTAGAGAATTCTTGCAAGACACTTAAAAGTGTGTTTGAATTTCTTTGTAGTTGATTCATTGTGTTCACAGCCTGAATCTCGAGATTATCGTTCTTCCTCGATTGACTTCTTATAGTTAAATTACTGCTGTGTTGGTAGTTTTATGTGTGTGTTTAATGACATTTCATTACATTTATTTTCTTATTACTGTGTCCTTAAGTTTTTTGTATATGATTGTGATTAAGCGGCCGATAGTGCCATTTGGTTCAGTATCTGGACTTAATGTAGTGAATTAGTGCACTTACAGTGTGTTCCCAAAGGTTTTGGATGCCTGGGCTACTGATTCTCTCGTGATCAGTTTTCGCAGGCTGTCTCCATAACCTAAGTGTTAACCTCATGCCTGGTGGTGCTCAAAGATGTAATGCCTAGAGAGCGAACATAATATACCATTAGATAAACACCCCGGATTTCTTGTGATGATTAAGATCCATTACACTGACCATTAGATGCAGCAGACTTCTTTATTTGCAGCCAAAGAAAAGGCAGTTGTGCCAATATATTCGAGACTGAAGACTCGGGTTTTGCTGCAGTTCCCTCGTCCCTCACAGAATGGGCTAGGGACACGCTGTCTGCAGCTGACTTCGTTTCTCCATTCTAACTGATGCCAGTGCACTAGCAGATGCAGAGGAAGAACCTGATCCCGATGTGTGTCATCGTTAGAAAAAGACACTTGTTCAACTGAGAATTGAAATACCTTCGGTGATTCTAAACGATCAATCACTGAGCATAATTTCTTTTCTTATTCTATTCAGTGACCTACGAAAAGTGATCAGAAGAGCCTTTCGATTCTGGCTGAATCTTCTGGAAGAAAAGAGGGAATGTCTAAGGAACTGTCCGTATATTACAATGTTGGGTATATATCCAAATACTAATAAATTTATTACAAAATACATATACATGCATATATATATATATGTGAAATATGTATGTATATAAACATATGCTTACATAGCAATTTGAAAGGGAGGTCATTTAATTTTTAAAAACTGCAGTTAAACGAGCGAAACAAGGTAATGGTAAAACAAAAGTCATTTTTATCCTATCAAAATCTATAATGAAAATAGCAGCTTGTTTAAACTACTGCTATTTTTCATAATAGATTTTGATAGGTTAATAATTCCATTCTTTTACCATCACATTGTTTTGCTCTTTGAACTGTAATTCTTCAATTTTAAATGAGCCATTACATTATCAAAAAGCAATTTTTACTCTGTTTTTATTCTTGCTAT